CACACACACACACACACACACACACACACACACACAGTGTACGATCATTCAGGCATGAAAAAGAATGAAATCTTGCCATTTACAATATGGATGAACCTCAAGTGTGTTATGCTATGTGAAGTAAGTCAGACCAAGAAAAACAAATATGTGATTTCACTGATATGTGAACTCTAAAAACAAACAAAAAAAAAAACCAGCTCACAGATACAGAGAACAGATTAGTGGTTGCCAGTGATGAGGGTGGGGAGTGGGTGAAATGGGTAAAGAGTCAAATGTACAAACTTCCAGTTATAAAATAGGTAAGTCATGGGGATATAATGTTCAGCCTGGCAATTATTGTTAATAATACTGCACTGCATATTTAAAAGTTGTTAAAAGAGTAGATCTTAAAAGTTCCCACTATAAGGAAAAAAAGTTCTGTAACTATGTATGGTGACAGATGTTAACTAGATTTGTTGCAGTGATTTCACAATATACACAAATATAGTATCATTATGTTGGACACCCAAAACTAACATAATATTGTACATCAATTACACCTCAATTAAAAAATATATACATGCTGAAAGCCTTAAGAACAGCTTTATTGGGTATCAAAAGTTCAACCCCACTAGAAATTTTTTATGGACAGTTTTTAAAAGATTAGATAACCACTTCTGTTTAACATGTTAGTAGGTATTTTTAAAGACACACAGTGTGTTGAAAAGGATCCTCTCATACATTGCAAGTAACAATTCACCCATTTTGGAAAGTAATTTGTACTTTGGGTATCAACTTCAAAAATGTTTCACCCATTAATTCCATTTCTGGGAATCTATCATAACAAAATAACTTAAAATACAGCAAAAAACTTTATGCACAAAAATTACAGCAGTACTTGTGATAGTGAAAGTCAAGACACTAAAAACTTTGATGTCTAACAACAGGAAGAGTATAGATTATCTAAATGATATATCATGAAACCACTTAAAAAAATGTTCACTTTTATAGAAAAATATGCCTCTGATATACTAAGGAGAAAAAAAGCAGAGTACAAAATTACATATCAATTGTGATTTTTTTTAATGTATTTTTTTAATATTTGAGAGAGAGCGTGTGCATACAGAGGAAGGGTGGGTGGAGGAAAGGGAAGAGAGAGAGTCTCAAGCAGATTCTATGCCGAGTGCAGAGCCTGACGTGGGGCCTGACCTCACAACCCTGAGATCAGGACCTAAGCTGAAACCAAGAGTCAGTCGCTTAACTGACTAAGCATCCCAGGCGCCCCCATCATGAATTTTCAAAGATACATATTTATACACATATAAAAAAGCTCAGAAGAAAATGTAATGACACATAGGCACAGAAATAAATACTTAAAAAGAAACTTGTTCAGATTATCTGACAGTGTTGGATTATGTATGGGTCTGTGTTCTTTAATACGTTTCTGTATTTTCCACACTTTTTATATATAAGCATGCCTGAATTCTATAACCAGAGTTGAAAAAACGTTAAATATCAAGGTATTAGTGGTAGATAGAGAGTATGTACTGTTTGGAAAAAAACCCGTTATTTAAATACCACTTTCCAAACATACTTGAAACACTGAACTGATAAAGATAATAAATTTTACTCCATACTCAGGTCTAAGAAATCAGAGGAACTCCAACAGCAATTCCAATAACAATAAACGATTAAATTTATGTAGCAAATACAAAGTCATAAATTCTTTTTCTTCCTATTACCTTTATAGTTCTGTCAGCAGATCCAGTTACAAACCACTGATTTCCAGGTTCTACAGCAATACAGCGAACCCAGCCAAGATGCCCACTAATCACCTGTATAAAACAAAACGTAGAATGGAGAGACTCATTAGACGTTAAGTTAAAGTTTATTCAATATCAACTCATGACACATAAGTCAAGTTTGAACAGCCCCTCCTTGTATCTTCAAATACATTATACAATTATTTAACAATTAGATTTTAGAATTATAAATACTAAATTACCTTCAATCAGTAAACAGATACACACGAACTATGACATAGCTATACAATGGAATACCACTCAGCAATAAAGAGGAATATATTAATACATGCCACAATTTGGCGGATTCTCAAAGGCATTAAGCTGAAGGAAAGAAGGAAGTCAGTCTCAAAAGGTACATACTGTGTAATTCCATTATATAACAAAATTGAGAAAACACCACTATAGTATGGGTAACAGATGAACAGTTGCCAGGGGTACAGAATGGTATCACTATAAAATAATAGCGCAGGACTGTTTTTTGTGTGTTGGAACTTCTATACACTGACTGTGGCAGTGATTACCCAAATTTATACGTCTCTTAAAATTTACTTGGTATGTACACCAAAAGAAAGTCTATTTTAGTATGTAACTAGAGAACTAAAATTCAACGTATATATTTTGTGTAGCTATGGTTTTCCTACTATATATGTTTCATTTCAGATCTAGTACATTTTGAATCATTTTTTTTTAAAGATTTTAGTTATTTGCCAGAGAGAGAGAGCCCAAACAGGGGGAGCAGCAGGCAGGGAGAGGGAAAAGCAGGTTCCCAGTTGAGTAGGGAACTCAATGTGGGGCTCAATCCCAGGACCACGGGACCCTGACCTGAGCCAAAGGCAGAGCTTAACAACTGAGCCACCCAGGTGACCCTTGAATCATTTAAATTTACTACAACTGAAAAGATAATCAATAGAATAATCAAAGAAATATCATCATATGTTGTTCTTCCTCCTGGCCTTCACATTAAATACTTCAAACGCTTAGAAAATTTATTTCATCTGTTCTCCACGTCTTAATAGTTTTGTCAACATTTTACACTCTATTTTACAGGAAATATGTGCATGGCTTTTACTTAAAGAAGTCTCCTTCTAAGATGTCTTTTAAGATTATGCCTAAAACCCTTCCCACATCCCATCTCAGATCACTTTATCAGTTCTCATATTCACTCCTTTTCTTCCATATTCTATTCCTGAGCTCTTAGTAAATGGAAAGCAATAATCATTCCTACAGTGGAGTAATATACGTATTCACTCACCCTGTAGAGTTTCCACGGTGGGTGCCACTGGGGTTTCGGCATTGTGGGGGCTTTTTTAGCCATCAGTGCAGAGTTCTTGGCATTGCCAGCCTCCATAACGGCCTAGATATAGAACAGATTACACTATCGTTAAAGATATCATACCTAATATTTCACATTCATTCAAAGAAGAAAAATTCAGAAAGGGGATTTATGAGTTTTTTTTTCTCTTAATTGAAGAGGAAAAGACAATTAAAATATGGCATAAATAGAAAATGTTGGCATAACTGAGACTTTGATTCAGAACTATATTTTCCATATGTTAATTTTACGTATCAATTAAAAAATCTCAGAGGCACAACATTAGACTTAAGAGCACATATCACTGTGTGTGGGTTCATAAACCCTGCTCTGCTAATTACTAGCTGACTGGCTTTAAGTAAAAATTATATAACCTCTGTGCCTGCTTTGTAACATGGAAATAACAGTGCCTACCTCAAACAGTTACTATGAAAATAGTGTTAACTACTCTAAATGCTCTGTGTAAGCTTCTATTATTATTTGAGTAATTGTAAGTGGATTAATGTCACTGCTTTTCATTGTTGTATTTTCACATTATGGGCTTTATAGCAAAAGGAGAAACTATTTATTTTCCAAAAAAAACATTTAAGTAGTATTTTTTTAATATAAATTCAATTAATTAACATACAGTGTATTATTAGTTTCAGAGGTAGAGTTCAGTGATTTATCAATTGTATATAACACCCAGTGCTGATTACATCACGTGTCCCCCTTAATGCCCATCACTCAATTAACCCCACTCCCCCTCTCCTCCAACAACCCTCAGTTTGTTTCCTATGGTTAAGAGTCTCCTATGTTTGCCTCTCTGATTTCATCTTGTTTTATTTTTCCCTCCCTTCCTCAATGTTCTTCTGTTTCTTAAATTCCACGAATAAAATTAGGTAACTTTCTCTGACTTATTTCTCTTAGTATAATACTCTCTAGCTCCATCCATGTCATTGCAAATGGCAAGATTTCACTTTTTTTGATGGCTGAGTAATATTCCACTGTATATATACCACTCTTCTTCATCCATTCATCTGTTGATGGACATCTGGGCTCTTCCAGAGTTTGGCTACTATGGACATTGCTGCTATAAACACTGGGGTGCAGGTGCCCCTTTGGATTACTACATTGTATCTTAGGGGCAAATACCTAGTATTGCAAATGCTGGGTCATAGGTAGCTCTATTTTCAACCTTCTGAGGAATCTCCATACTGTTTTCCAGAGTGGCTGCACCAGCCTACATTCCCACCAACAATGTAAGAGGGTTCCTCTTTTTCCACATGCTCTCCAACATTTGTTGTTTCCTGAGTGGTTTATCTTAGCCATTCTGACTGGCATGAAGTGGTATCTCATTGTGGTTTTGATTTGTATTTCCCTGCTGCCGAGTGACATTAAGCATTTTTTCATGGGTCTATTGGCGATTTGTATGTCTTCTTTGAAGAAATGTCCATTGACGTCTTCTGACCATTTTTTTGACTGGATTGTTTTTTGGGTGTTGAGTTTGATATGTTCTTTATAGATCTTGGATCCTAACCCTTTATCTGATAAAACTTTTGCAAATATCTTCTTCCATTTTGTAGATTGTCTTTTGGTTTTGTCAACTATTTCCTTTGCTGTCCAAAGCTTTTTATCGGGGCACCTGGGTGGCTCAGTGGGTTAAAGCCTCTGCCTTCGGCTCAGGTCATGATCCCAGGGTCCTGGGATCGAGTCCTGTATCGGGCTCTCTGCGTAGCAGGGAGCCTGCTTCCTCCTCTCTCTCTACCTGCCTCTCTGCCTAATTGTGATCTCTGTTTGTCAAATAAATAAATAAAATCTTTAAAAAAAAAAAAAAAAGCTTTTTATCTTAATGATGTCCCAATAGCTCATTTTTGCCTTTGTTTCCCTTGCCTTTGAGAAGTTTAACTAATATTTTAAAAGGTATTCTAGGTGATGTACCAACTACTATTAACATTCCAACCATCCACCCAAAAAATACTTAAGTCCATAAGTTCCTACCATCAAGAAGCTTATATTACCTCCTCCTTAGGAGACAGAAAGCCTGGGCAGAGATCTATGAATGGAGGCAAAAGAAGAAATGTGGTGGAAAGACCACAAATTCATTCATTTAGCCTGCAGTTACTCAAGTGACAGCCTGATAAAATAAACTAGATATTTTCAGTTATTCTTTTTATAATTACTTTCACCAGTAACATTAGCTGCCATTTAACTTACAAATAGATAAACTTCTGTACTTCTAAATATTCATTTATAAGATACTACCTGCACAGCCTATGAATATTACATTACTAACAGCACTCAACTCAAATTGTATAAACCAACTTAAGAGTTTAAAAAAAGAGAGATTTTCCTATCTAACACATACTAATACACATTTCAGAATAGCATTCCTTGTATTTTTAATAGTGGACAACAAAGAGTAACATCACACTATATCAACTTTAAGTATTAGATACAATGTGCAACAGACACAGAATTTGAGTTTTAAATTCTAAATGATATGCAAAATCATTAGCAACTTAAATTTTAGGGCTATGAAATATTAACTGGCTCAGTCAGCTGTTATCTAATGAGAAGCAAGGAAATTTTTTATTTACTTAATATTTAATCTAAAACTCTTGGGATAAAAGGAAATAAGGCAACAAGTTCCAAAAGTTGGAAATCCGCAGCGTGATTTGACACAGAAAAACTTACTGGAGTCATCCCTGCAGGCTGTGAACGGTCAGAAGCCCCTGGATGTCGGTATTCACCTCCAGCAGGTGCATTACGATTCGCATCAACCCTGAGGCAAAAGAAATGTCATATTCTAAGTAATTGTCTTCAGTCATGTGTTGTGCAGAACCAACTCTTCAAATTTTGTAAGCAATGAAAAAGGAAAATGTCATATAACACATAATTATAAAGAAATCTTAAAATGAGAAAAAATGTAAACACAGAATTATGCTTTCAAAATCTGTATAATTGTAAGCATAATACTTCATACCTGGTCTGAGAAGAAGGTAATGCCACAGCTAAGGACTGTGCAGCTGATTCACTTGGCATTCTCTGGATCTTAGTATCTGCTGTCAAAGCAACCCCTGTTTAAAAAAAAAAAAAATCAATTCCTTTTAGTAGCTATCTTTGATTTCACTTACAGGGGTTTAAAATAAAATACTGGAAGAAAACATGTGATTATCTCCAGGTGATGATTATTACAAAAATTTCTCTGATGTTTTATCTTTTATTTCTTTTTTTTTATAATAAATATAATTTAAAATCAGGTAACTCAAATTGGATTTAACCACAAGCAGCCTGGTATTAACATATCCAAGATAGTAAAGTTAAATTTCTATTATCTTGAGACATTACCTTCAGATATAAAAATTAAGCAGTTCCCAAATACTAAAAGAATGTTTTCAAGAATAAATGTAAATTACTAAACAAGAAGCAACAATTTGCCTGTACTTCCAGTATGGTAATTCCACCTTCTAAAATTACTAGAACCTAGAACCTAGAACTAGAAACTTTTTGTTCTCCATACCATTATACTAGCCACTCCATTTATGTGCCAGCTGTCTACACACACAAATATCTAGTGGACATTCTATCACACCTGCTTCTACACTAACACTTCTATCACTTTTTTAAGTTTAGTGATAATAACATGTCTGTTTAAACCTCCATATAAGCATCTTTTAGCCTAGAGCAATCTTACTGTCTTTGAATTCCTAGCATAGCACCTGAAAAAAAATCTAGATGTTTAAGAATGTTTGCTGAATGAAATGATATGAAACTGAGTATTAGTTAACTACCATCTAAAAAGCTATGCCTGGATGCCTGGCTACTGAGCTTATCTTGTATTTTATAGGCAATTAGAATCACATTACTGGTTCATTCATGGAAATGTCTGTAAGATATTTCCAGTATGTAAGAGCTCACTTACCAGGTCCTGGTGGATATGGATGTGTACCTGTCACCAAATATTCAACTTCTTGTCCTTAAAAAAGGAAGAGGAATCATCATCATCATCAGTGGCAAATTTATCATATATACAAGCATCATCTCTTTTAATGCATAGTAAATTAACAACTAAAATGCTCGAATTTTCCCAACTAAACCCAAAGTTCAGAACCAAGATATACTGATTTTTGTTTTGACTTCTGAGGAACATGTACATAGGAAATTTCCTTGACTATTTGCTAATATGATGTTAAAAAAGCTGTATAGGGGCACCTGGGTGGCTCAGTGGGTTAAGGCCTCTGCCTTCGGATCAGGTCATGATCTCAGGGTCCGGGGATCGAGCCCCGCATCAGGCTCTCTGCTCAACAGGGAGCCTGCTTCTCTCTCTCTCTCTGCCTACTTGTGATCTGTGTCTGTCAAATAAATAAAATCTTAAAAAAAAAAAGCTGTATAATTATAGTGGCTTATAGAGAGATCATCCCATCAAGTAACAACCAACTTTGGTTTTTCTTCCAAGCAAATGACTTCTCTGGAATCTTAGATTATCTTTAATCACTGCAATTTCAGTGCTTAATATCACCTTTATGAATGATAGCAAAAACAGACAGATGGTCTTCCCATGGGTTAGAAATTTTTCCTTTAGTCTCCACTGCGACCTTCTCTATATCCTAAGAATCTCTGTTATTATTATTCTACCACTTTTTTATTTCCTATAAGAAAAAATCCACCAAACCAATAATCTCACTCACTACTCCAATGAGGAAATCAAGACTTCCATTATAATACCAATATAGTTGTTCAATAGGATACGGCTCTAATCAGTCTTTTTGGGACAGGCACTAAAACATTTCATTTTTCCATTTTTAAAATAAAAGTCCTGATATTTTTGATAACGCACACTCACCTTGATTGGCAGGATACTGTTTATGACCATATGAATCCGATGCATTCTGAGGACATTTCTCTTTAAAATTTTCTTTTGAAGTAGGCATATGCAACACAGGACCATACTCATTACGCAGCTTGATTGCCATTTTCCGTTTGTGACTATTTAAAAATTATGAACATAAGAATGTATCCCTGAGTTCTTTAAATATATTAACCCATGGAAATATACTCAGCCAAGAAACACAAGTACTTAAACAGCTAGGTTTGCCTAATCATGTAGAAAAAAATTCTATGAAGTTTTTAAAATTAAATAGTATTTTAAAAAGCTTGAAGTGCATTTCCACACTTTTGTTCACAATCCACCACATAGCATCCATTAAGTCTAAGTAACATTTTATTTTGTTAACCAATAAATATAAAACCTTTGATGATAAATTATCAAGGGTCTGACTTAAAAATATATAGAAACTAATATATCCTTGTAAAAACCTCAAAGTCAAAATACTTTCCTTCAAATGTATAAATATAAAACTATAGTAAAAGCTTCTATCATAATCTTTACTGGATGTATCTAAAAAGATTAATTAGAACTAATCAAAGTACTTAATTAGTCCAATATTTTTTAAAAGAAATGCACTTACTATATTAATTTTAAGAGTAGCTCACTTTATAAATTAAATATAAATGCTTGTCTTAGGAATTAAATATAGTTTAAAAGAAGGGTAAAGGACAAAGGAGGAACACTGCACATAATGCAATCCCAGACTGGAGCTGGAGATGTAGAACCAAAAATATGCCACCACTCAAAAATCTTCATCATACTAACGAGAAAAGATGGGAGTAGAGGTACTGGCCAGGTACAATTTCAGCTCAGCAAGGCTCTGAGAGCAGCGGGAAGCTGAAAGCACATACAAAGTGATTGATTATAAAATATAACACCTAAAAGGGACTGTCCTAATTACTGGGTATTTATAAATGCAATTAATTAATGGGTTTTTTACTGTGAAAGACAAGGCCAAAAAAAAGTTAAATCAGCTTAAATCATGCCCAAACACCATTCATTATTGAATAGATATCCTATGTTAGTACCACTCACTAATCTTTAAAAGTCCCCCTCTCCCTGCTCTCTTCCCCCAACATCAGAAGTTTAAATATTCTAGCAACTGAAAAGGAACAATATCTACCTCTCTTCATCCAAAGGCACAGGTTTTCCATTATCAGCTACAAACATGTCATGCGTTCTCTTCAATGACCTGAACACAAGTGTGTGCACAGAATGTTTCTGTACCTCCTAGAAAGAAAGAACAGAATCACATACCTAGCCACAAATTACACATATCATAACCTAAATTAAAGTCAGATTAGTTATACACTTTACATGTTTAAATATGTAAAAAGCTCTGTACCACTCACTACAGCTATTTGTAGCAAGCTATAGGAGTCAAGTTCAGAGAAGTAGAGGAAACTCCTCATTGGCCAGAGCCCCAGGTATACCAATAAGGGATGCCTGAGCTTAGTCATATATTCAGTAAATATTTACTGAGCTCCCACTATGTCTGGCAGGTACTGTGCTAGAAGTTAGCAAAAGAATGATGAAAAGGCAGCCATGGTCCCAGTGCTCAAGAGAAAACAAAAACAGGCAACACATTTTAATAAGTGCTATGAAGGAAACAAGCAAGGGGCTGGGGCAGAGAAAGAACTTAGGATAGTTATGAAAGATCTCTCTGAGGTATTAGTTAAGAAGAGAGGTAGCCTTGTGCATAGTAGGGGCAAGAACAATCCAGGCAGAGAGAAAATGCCATGTACACAGAACAATGAAGCAGGAGCTCCAAGAGAACTGTGTATGCACCGTAGGAAGGTGGACTGTGATGCTGAAATGAGGTTCCAAAGGTAGACAAAGTGCACATCAGATTAAGAATTTTTTTTTTAATCTCTGCAATAGTCTACACTTTTGCTCTAATAACATGGGGCCAAAAAAGAATTTTAAGCAGAAAAAAAAAAAAACAACCATGATCAACTTACATTTTTAAACAGATCAATCTGCGGAGGGGGGAGAGTGTAACTAAAATGGAAGCAACAACACCAGAAGGGAGCTAATGCACTTGTCCAGACAAAAGATGATGTTGGTCTGAATTAAGGTGAAGACAGTGGATATGGACAAGAATCAAGAAATATTTCTGAGATAAGATGGACAAGGCTGGCTAACAGAACAGCTGATGCAAAACTTCAAAATGGCAGGTTGTCCTGGGGAAGAGCTGAAGGAAGGCACAAAGTTAACACCAGAGAGGGCTGCCAGTCTTTTAGGACACACAACCATTGGCGCTATTCTGCAGACGGTGAATTCAACGCATCCAGAAGCACTGACGACTTCAAGGGTCAAATAAGAACTGAGAAATTCTCTCAGGCTTCTCGCCCGGGAGTAACTTCCAGCTAGTGCTCCCATCCGGCCTCTCTCTATCCCAGAAAAGCTTAAGAAGAGACTACCCGGCCTCGGCCAGAGAGCCTCCCTTCGCAGGCTCTACTCTCCCCAAACGCCAAACACCCTCGTTCTCCCACGTCAGCCGCCAAAGAAACACATTCCAGATGCGAACGACCCCTCAGTGCCCAAGTGCCACTCTACCTCGACCATGATGCTGCCGTACAACACGCCGCTCCAAGAGACAAACGCTTATCCGCAACACAGAAACCGCTGCCACAACTGTGCAGTCCCTTCCGGAATCGACCGCCCTGGCGCCGGATGTGACGCAATCCGCGCACGCGTACTGGTCGCCCGACGGCCTTCTGGGATCGAGAAGCGGGCCTTTTTGTTCGGGGGCGTGGCCTTGGCCCCGAGGTAGGGGGATTTTAGTACCTCGTAACTTAAGGGTCTCACTCGCATCTCCGTAGAAGTCTTGAAATAACGTTTTCTGCCTTATTGTAAGACTTAAATAGTTTGGTTTAGCGATATGGTTGTTTGCGCTGTATTTCCCGAAGTTTAATCTCTCTCTCTCTTTTTTTTTTTTTTCAGCGAACCTAAGTAATCAGTTCTAGGGAGGGTCTGGAGCGAGCGAATCGCGGTCCTCCCTAAAATTTAAATGGTCCTTTTGGGGCTCACCTCTGTGATTTACGTCGCCTGATTCCGCTACTTTGCCAAACTTGTCTGGAAGCATTTTGACGCCTTTGTAGCCTTAGCTCCTAAAAGCAATTCCACTTGGCCTGTCCAGTTAACACTTGTTGAGGGAATATTATCGAATATTGCAAAGTTTGAGAAAGTTTGCATAGATTTTTGTTTTAGCATTATATAGCAAACCCCCAAATTTATTTTACGCTTCATATATTTTTTTTTTAATATCTCAAAACTGCATAATTTTTGGCCGTCTCATAGGTGTCTGGTAATTAATGTGGCGTCAACAATGACAGGGTACAGCTTTTCAAAGCTGGTGGAAGAAAGACGCGACTGCAGACTTGAGCCATTTTTATTTATATATATCTTGGTGCCTAAGTGTCGGTATTTTAAATTGTTTTTTTTACTCAGGTAAAATGCAGTTTTCTGTCAATCCTGCCCCATTACTTTTCTATGTAAAAAGAAAGATTGATGGAGATGGACACTTGTAAACTTGATAAACATTTCACTGGCCTTGCTTGTTCCTTAACCTAATCAGTTCCACTGATCTTCTACCCAGAGCATACAGCACATTCTTTGAAAGGGGAAAAATATCTTACCAAAAGTATAGCAATATGAATTGATAATCTCATTAGAAATTCATTGATTTTTAATTAATCAAACATTAAGGTCATGTTTCTACTTGAAAATACAATCATCTTTGAATTTGAGTGTGAGTTTGGTCTATGAATTAATCTTCTGTAACAGTGGCCACTGGTGGTAGAACTTGCAAAGAAATTCCGTAATTGTAAAAATATATACTTGGTAAGCTGTATCTTTCCCATAGGTAGTAATAACTATACAAAAAAATATGATTTTATAGAAATGCAAAAGAAAAACACAGGTGTATGTATCAAAAAGTTCAGGTTAGAAGGTTATTATGGAATTTGATGTACTAGACATCTCACGGTTATGGTAAATAGGTTAAAAAATTATCTATATATAAAAAAAATGAGCCAGAATAGTGGGAACGAATTAAAAATAAAATTGTCCTATGAAGTAAAAAAAATATGATTTTAAAAGGCAATAAAATTATAGAAATGTATACAGTATTCTGATATATCTATGGCAATATAATAAATGCCTAGTTGGGCTTATTAACATGTTAATCATCCTGGAAAAGTTTCATAAACCCAGACTCATAATAAATTATAATAGCTAAGGTAAATTGCACTAGATTATCCTTCTTTTAAAAAGCTCTGTTGAATCTATAGAATTATATTAACCACCTTAAAGTTTTATATAGACAAATAGAGCTCAGTGACCCACTTATGTAGTTCATGGATCTATGAATTACCTATGTTGAATGCAAATTTTATATTTATATCAGAACCTGGGTTTTGTGTTGTTTTCAAAACAAACCATAAATTTCTTTGGATTCATGAAAAGATCTAGGACCCAGGAAAGGTCTAGATAGGATCTCTATCCTGGTGGACACCCAGGGATGCCTTATTTGAGCAGTAGGGGTCACTGCTGCTCTTTATAATGACAGGAGGATTTACCCTCGTAAGGCTTTTCTCTTATGGTGAATAATTTATTAATGTAAATATGAAGTCTCTGCAAAACCAATAGTGCAAATTTTAAGGACGCTCTTCTCTTTATTACTTAATCTAGTTTTCTAACTCACCAGTATATGAGATCCCTTCATTCTCTTCAGATACTTTTGTCCTTTGCCCTGAAATAGTGAAAGGAGGTCACATGAGTATAGATTTCAGTGTCCTTTTCACCTTTCATCAGATTTTTTATCGGAAATGTTTTCTGATTTTATACTCATAAAAAGGTGGATATTATTTCTTCTTGTTTCTCTCAGTTTAGAAGTTTGAATATATAATCTCTGTAGACACTACTCTCTTTACATACAATATTCTTTAGACTTGTTTGACACAATAGGTCCTTTTCCCCATAATTTCAGATTTGTAGTTCTTCACTAATTCAAAAGGGAGAAAAGGTGGATGTTATCATTTCTTGTTTAATTTATAAGGTCAGAACCAGTTAAAAAGAATACTTGGATGTTTCTTCCAGGAGTTCAGTCTTTGTTTATTACAATACTGAGAATGGGCCCAAATGCTGAGGGAGTTTTAGCAAGTGATTTCTAGTAACAGAGTTAAGAGGAAAGCTTCTGGGGTCACCAGAAACAGTGAGGGAGCTATTCTGATCAATGCCTGGAAAGGCCTGGTACCTAATTAAGCTGCACTGTCAGTTATAAATATCTTAGCAAGGGGTGTATATGTGTGACAGAAAGAGAAGAGAAATGTTGCTTATCACAGTTTGTTCCTATTGTGTGAAGTCCCATCCAATGTCACAAAAACAAGTGCCAAATTGAATATGATCACGACTCATATTTTATCTTTTCTTGTGTTTCTATTTTGCAAAAATGTGAGTGTTTTTCCTTATAGCGGAAAAAAAATAGCAATGTGAAATTTCCAGATTTCTCAGCTGAGTTCATATGTTAACATGTTTGATGGTAATATTTACTTAATTATCTGTGTTCCCCAATAGACATATGGGTGAATATGGTGTGATACTCATTATCACACACCCAGTATTTGGATAACTTGCAACTGGTAAGACTTTCAGTGTTTGTTGAATGATTGAATAAGTAAGGTGTTAAGTTTTAGACACTTAAATGTGGGGATGGAAGGCACTGAGACCTTAATTTTGATGTGGGGTTGCAGGTAACAGATACTGTGTATCATTGTATGTGTATATTACGTGCTTGCTCCTGAAAAGATGCACTATTTCAACAATTTAATCTTAACCTTTTCTGTATGAAAGGCAGAGAATTGCTTGTATGAGGACAGTCTTTCTGATCATTGTAAGTTTTATGAAAATGAATTATTCTCCACTATATTTAGGTAAGTTAGTACAAAATTTTATCTAGTTTATATAGTTCTGACATTAAACTAAAAGGTACTGATTTATTTGTAAAAATATATTCTTTTTTCAAAAATGGGTATAGTTGGCAGAAAAACTTCTTGACATCCATAATGAAGAAGATAACACATTTTGGTTGTTTCAATATTTTCTTACTATAATTTAGGCATTTTAAAGCTTTCTTTTAAAAGTAAACTATCCAAAACTAGCATTATTTTTATGGATAAACTTTAAAAAATTACCTTCATCACAAAACAAAAATTTCTGCTATCGCTATTATTATCCACACTTATTTTTTTCCTGAAAATATTAGTCACATAGTTAGACAAAAAAGGAAATGTATGTGTAATATGGGAAATAATGAAGTAAAACGATCTGTATTTGCAAATGGTATGATCTTATACCTAAACAAACAAACAAGAAATCAACTGGAAAAGCTGTTGGAAACAATGAGAGAATTCACTGAGAGCAGAGTACAAAGTAGTAGTAAAAAAATCAATAGCTTTCATCTATACAGTTAAAATGTAATGGGGGAAATAATCTTATTTATAACACCAATAAATGAAAATGTGCAAGACCTGAAAAATATTTAAGGGACAAACCACCCGAAAAAGATTTGAATCAAGGAAAATGGACAGTTATTCTTGCATTGGAAAAGTCAAAATTATAAATGTCTTCTATGCCATTAATCTAATCCCAAGGACATTTTAGGGAAAATACTTTTAATTCAAGAAATAGTTATTAAATAATGAAAGATTTTTTAAATGAATGTTACTAAAACATTCCAAAGTAAAATTTAAATTTTTATTTTCTACAGATTTTACTGCTGGTATTATATACTTTAAGTATAAAAACCTCTAGTGATTTATTGCATTTTTTGAACACAGCTTTTCCTTCTAATGTGAAATGTATGATTAAAAAGTAGTTTGATTCCTAAAAATTTGATTTTAATTTAATTTTAATTCAGCAAACTCCAGAAGCCATTTCAGCTGAACTTACCAAAAGATAACAGGGGAATGGGTACTATTAGAAGGACATCAGGGGTCTCACAAATTTGACAGAATAATCAAATGGTCAAGTTTAGAGGTTTTGATTACTTCTGATGCCAAGGTTGGTAGGCTCTCTCTCTGGAATGCTGCAACAAATGTGACATCGGGTCAGTCAACCCAATTCTTTGCTTATTTCCTTTGAAAACATTAAATTGGGGGAGAGAAGCTGATAGGGCTAGTTTAGAGAAGGAGTCTACCACAGCTCAAGTGTCTAGCTAGAGGGTCAAGGTATCACTATGCTAATAGGACCACTGGATCCCTATGTTTCAAGAGTTGTTCCAGGCGAAGGGATCAGCACTCTGAAGGGCATCCATTATAGCCTTGTGGTTTTGAGTATCAATGTGACAGGAGCAGAAGAGCATCTCTGTCTTTTCTCTGGCTCTTATGATTGGCATGGGGTGAAGAAAATGTGCTGGTTTTACCCCTATTGCCATGCCGTATACCAGCTTAACCTTCAGGAAAGCAAACTGATAAATTTCAAGTCAATAGAGGGAGACTCTGTACAAGATACAATGTGGGCCCCCACTTTTCTTCCCTGCAATATGCTTTCCCATTGCAAATGACTAACCAATTACAAGTGTCATTGCAATATTGGTCTCAGGCTTGCCCACCAAAGCTCTGGTCCAAGTTAGCCTGCAGCTCTTGAGTATTAATTTCCTTTT